TTAGCCCTGGTTGTCTTAGAGAGAGGAAATAAATAAATCGATCACTAGATGTCAAGAGGTGACTAATGTTACACCCAGAATTAAAGCATCTTAAGAGAACTGGGCTGGGGACATAGCTCAGAGGCACAGTAACTGCTTGGCAAGTGTGAGGCCCTGAGTTTGATTCCTAGTACCAAAAAGAAGAAGAGAAAAAGAATTAAGAAAGAGACTGCTTAACTGAAAGGTTACTGAAGGTTTCCCAAATGGGGTAGGTGAATCTAGGAGCACAGGATGTCAAACAGATGAGGCAGATGCAAAGGCCCGGAGGTAGGGACACATTTGGGTGTTCAGCCAACAGTAAAGAGCCCTATGACAGGAATGCAGGGAATGTGGATAAGTGGGGTCCAGGGAGATAATGTCAGGCAGCCCTGCAGCCTCTGGGCCAGGGAGATAATGTCAGGCAGCCCTGCAGCCTCTGGGCCAACCTTTCAGTTCTCCCAGGGCTCTGGCTCTGCTCTGGATTTGCTAAGAGCAAATCCTCCACTGTCTTTCCCCAGGAATGTGCATGATAAGCTGCTAACATTCACAGTTAACCCAGTTCCCCGACCTCAGGCAAATGGAAGAGGCCACTGAATATAATCTTAGTTTTAATTTCTTCTAAAATCTGAAGAAGTAAGGAATGGACAGGGAAAGACAATGTAAGGAATGGTAAAATAAAGAACCTGAGCTCTACCAAGCTTTTTCCTGGAGTTGCTGTACCTCTCCCTCATGAGCAGTAATTTTCCAACCCTCAGCTCGTACGAGGTGAGGTCATCCAGGAAAATGGTGTAAGGTCCTGGGCAACTCTGGCTGCACAATCAGAAACACTTTTGTAACATAAAATCCAAACCAGAACACAGGTCTGCCCCACCCCTCTGAGCTTTCTGTTCACATGTGAAATGAGATGCAGATTAAAGTTTTTGGAAACTTCCACAGTTAAATCCAGTGGGCTGCTAGCAGAAATGATCCTGATCCAACAAATGTATTTCTGTATTCTGAATCCTTTATTTAAAATACCACTAGGGCCAGAAGCAGAGCACAGGGGTAGAACATGTGTCTAGCACACACAGGGCCCTTCATTCAATCTGTAACCCTGCAAAACTTAAAATTAAAAAATTAGTCTACAATCACTACTAGTCACCTACAAGTTCCAAGAGATGAAGTTCATTAACAGCAAAGAACGAAAATAGAATTAAATGTTTATGTTCCACTTATTACACTTCTAATTATAACTAATACTAGTTAAAATTCTAAAACTTCCAGACATTTGTTGTATGTCAGTAACTACACCTATTTACTTAATGATATCCATAGCAACACTATAATTCTCTGACTCATACATCAAGAACTGTCCTGTATCCAGTTTTTCAAAGTCATAGCAAATTGGGTGCCTTTTAAAATTTCAAGAACTATTTTCCTTTATTTGAAAAAATTTCTGCAGTTCTGGGAACTCGAAGTAATTGTTAAGCTGAGTTCAAAGAGAAATTTTACCCAAGTATGCTAAAATGTGTACAGGATACAGTTGAATGAGTTGAAAGGCCACAACATAAACTGAAGGAGCGGGACGGGTTTTCACTAGACTGACATGCAATCCTGAAATACTAGTGCAGTCTGTGTAAAGCCACGGTCCACATTCTCGGTCCACATTCTCAAGGACTTCAAAGCCAGGACGTTTCTCACCAGATGCTTATGGAAGAAGGACTTGCGAAATGACAAAAGACACTGGCAAAGAAAGAACAGAGTAAAAGCAATTTCCTAATTCAGCACTCATGGTTAGGTAACTACTTGAAAAGGAAAATAGCTGGGAAGTCTCAAACTTCATGGAAGGCACCAGGCGACAGGAGAGGCTGGGAGCCAGAATGCCGCCAACATCTTTTGTGGCTGAATCTACAGCAAAATATGCACAGCTTTCCATACTGCCCACAACACTTTACTTGTCAGAGCCCAAGTCTGTATGTACTATTCATGGATTGAAGGTTTAGTTTACAGTAGATTCCTGGGTATTTTTCTTACCCTATTTACAAAGTCTTAGGTGCTATGTTCATTGTTGGCCATCTAATGAGGTCTGAAGAAGAAATTACAGATCTGGAAGACTGAATTTCGTGGAGATAAAGAGGGAAGGATTGGCAGCTAATCCCTTTCAAACAAAGAGGACCCCAGATTCCACAAAAAGATTCCCCAGGACCTGTGATAAGGGATTTCATGGCTGAGCCCCATGAGAAACTGCACTGTTAGCATGACCTCACCAGAACAGGAAAGGGCAAAAGCAGCAGGACGCTACCCTGGACAGCAGAAAGGCAATGTAAAATATTACAAATGGGGTAGATTAACAAAGAGGTGACAAAACCGACTAAAGCCAAAGTTCAGGGCTGGGGATGTAGCTCAGTGAAAGGGCATCATACCTAATGGGTAAGACCATATGGCACCGGATTCGATCTCCAGCACCCTCCCTCTCCAGAAATATTTAGGTAAAAGATTAAAGATGAACCTATAAAACTCATCATTTTTCTCCCCTGAATTATTAACATCATTTTCCACTTGCCCTATCACATATGTGCTGTGAAGATGTCCCTTATAAATTATGTTTTGATAATAGAAATACCTATCAAAGACAGCCCTCCTTTAAAATCTAACATAGAGATCTACATTAATAGATTACTTATATTAGGAAGGAATTCTTCACAAAACAATTTTTCTTGGCATAAAAATATAAAGTCCTGTCAGGAAAACAATACATTTACCTGTTTTCTTAGAGGAATTTATTGGGCTTGTATTTTTATTTAATTTAATTTATTTTTTGGTACCAGGGACTGAACTCAGGACCTGTGCTTGCCAGGCAGGCGCTTAAGCCACTGAGCTATCCCCCCAGCCCTAGAGGAAATTTATTTACTGAATCTGAATAAAATGAACCTTTAGAAATTATCAAGCAAGAGCCCTTCGGCTTGCATTCTTTTAAAGACAGTATCTCAACCCGTAAGTGTTCCAACATATCAGTATATCAGTTCAGTCATTAGATTAGCAGAGTAAACTGGCTATAATAGGGTTATGGAGGGTTTTTTATTTATAGCACTAGAAATACAGACAAATAAGATTCACAAACACATCTCCATATGGAAATATATATATATAT